CACATTGCTGCTTAATTGTCCTTTTAAAACTAATTTCAAAATTTGAAATAGGTGGTATCTTTAAGTCCCTAGAACATTTTTTTCCATACCAAATCTTTCTGTTAGTTGTTGTTTTCTTGTTATTTCTTGTTATTTGTTGTCTTGTTATTTATAAAATGTGATTGTGTTTATTTCAGTGATAAAAAAAAAAGAAAAGCATATCATTAACTGCCAAAATTTGGTGTTGTTTTAAAGAGCGGGTTAATAAACCAGACCAGAAAAAGTTTAAAAACTTAATTTTTTTTTTTTTAAATGATAGACTGCCTGCCCAAACCAAACCCTCAGTCGATGTAGCAGCACTCCCTTGCAAGTCAGGCTATTTGTCAGTCGTTGTAGCAGCACTCCCTTGCGAGTCAGGCTATTTGTCATTCGATGTAGCAGCACTCCGTTGCGAGTCAGGCTATAAGATAGTCGATGTAGAAACACTCCCTTGTAGCAGCAAGCTATAAGATAGTCGATGTAGCAACATTTATGCATGTTTTAAAAATGTTTTTCAATAAAACAAAAACAAAAATTTTTAAAAAAACAATAAAATTTAATGTACTTCCGCATTAATTTAATTGCTTTGACATTTCGACGACAATCAAATACAGCTCAAGAGACAAGGTAATTAAAATTGTAGTCAAGAGACTTTTTTTACATTAAAAGACTACACTATAAAGATATATATATATATATATATATATATATATATATATATATATATATATATATAAATATATATATATATATATATATATATATATATATATATATATATATATATAACCCTCAGGATTTAGAAAAATAAGATTGGCAATAATTTTCCGACCTCAATCTTTAAGGTCGGCAAAAAAAATTTGATACAAAGTTCTTACCTTAAAAATGAGGTAATAAAAAAAATTGCTGATTAGGTTGGCATTGCCTAATGCCGACCCTAATTCCGAGGGTTGTATATATATATATATAGTGTGTCTCTTTTTTATAATAAGCAATTTAATAGTAGTGTCTCTTTTTGCTTTTTCCACACAGAGCTAAACCATCTTTTTTTTTAATACAATTTAGTATGGTTGTTTTCTACATCATCTGATATCTGTTTAAACAGATTAAATGTGATTTAAGAATTCAAATTAAATTTAAATTTTTGTTTAACTTTTTACTGTTATTATTAGTTATTCCTTTTAATTCATTTCATTTATATCATCATTTCAGGTAGCAATTATTTTAATTTTATGTTGTTTTCTATGTGGTAATGATGAGTAGCAGTCTGTTTTGTATAAAAGTATTGTAAAGTATAAAACTAATGCTTTGTATAAAACTATTGTACAATATTTTCATGCCTTTTTTTTTTTTTTTTTTTTTTTTAATGTAAACATATTTGACTAGATTTTTGATACTTTACTTTCTTTGTTTCAAAACATTTAAATAAAATATATTATTCATTATTTATAAACTTATTTATAAAGTTTATAACACATATACACAGGGGAGAATATAGGCGATTAACTTTAGATCCCTCTCCAGTTGTCTTTTAGATTATTTAACAAAATATACCCCTTATGTTAGGTCTCAAGATCAACCAGAGGGCTGCCAAAGTCCGAGACCTGTTTTGACCCTGTTACAAACATTTTTTAAAGATTAGTTTTATTATTTTTCAAATTAACTTATCCTGAATGGTATGGTTCTAACAAATTCAAAAAGGTATGACAACCATATGTCATTTTATCTAACTAAAATCTGGTTCAGCAAGGCTGTCAATATTTTTAGAATTTTATTTTTCTAATTGTATTTTTTTATATTTGCTCCAAATTTTGGCTTTTTGTGTATTCATGTTTTGAAAATTTTATTTTTTGAACACCGCTTATGTAAATATGTAACAAAATATATATTTTTTAACATCTTCACTTACAACAAGGCTGCAAGCAACCACTATTAGAGTTGGAAGTTAATGGAAGAGAAAATATGAAGTTCACAGAGCAAAATAATGATTAACAGATGACTTAAAAGATTGCAAATTATATGAAGCAGGTAAACAAGATAAAGGGAGCAAATCCAAAGAACTGATGTTCGAGGAAAAAACTAGACGAATAAGAATTTTTGGAACACTTAAGAAAAATCACAGTAAAAGGATGAGACTTGAATGACGATTAACATGAGAATAAATTTTAGTATAAATAATGAAACGTAAAAAAATGCTTATAATCAAAATTTACAATTGTTATGTTTTGTTTATTTCTAAAATAAATGTTTTAAAAAGTATATATTTTAAGTAAAAATTCTAAAAATGCCTTGAGAAATTTTTATTATATCAATAATAGAGATAGAGGTACTTATCTTATTAATGTCTCAACATATGTAATCAAGTCAGCGCATTTAAAACACATACGTGACAATTTTATTTTTTAAAGTCAAAAGATTTTTTATTTCAACTTTTTTTATGTGTTGAAATTAATAAACTAGTAATTTTAATTTTTTTATGGTGGTTGTAAAAAATTTAAAAAAATGTACCATAAAAAAAAGTGAAAAATATATCTGTTAAAAACAGTATAAATTATAGCATATAATTGTGAAAATAAACATAATAAAACATAAAATTGATAAGAAACAAAGATTATTTAAAATTTATTTTATAAAATGTTAAATATAATAAAAAAACCAGCAAAACTCACATGGTAAGAGCCATTTTAACATGGTTTACTCTCAAGTTCTCAATACAATGGGGAAGGGGGGAGGGGCATTTTTTAATATTTGAAAATTTTTTTTACCCACCCTAAACTTTTTATGACCCCTTTTCTCTTTGTTTGTTACCTTTTCTTTGTTATCAACAAAAAAATTTATATCTTAAAACAAGAAAAATAAAAATTTCAGTGAAAATTGACCTTGAAAATTAGAAAACAATTATTTAAGTCACTGACTAAACAAAAAATTTCAATATAAACAATATAAAAACTGTCAACTTAGAAAACTTTGATTTGTCAAAAATAAGCTTTTGGTTTATTTCTCACCAAAGTATAAAACTTATATCAGCATATTAAATTCTATTGAAATTATGATGAAACAGCTGTTTGAAAATGCACATTTGACCGCAAGCCACACTAAAATTATTAAGAAGAATTAATAGTTTAGAACATGTTTTGTAAAAATTATTAGCTTGGATTTAAAAACTGAAATTTTTTTTATAAAATACCTATATTATAACAAAAAAAATTCCCACCCAACTCTCTCTTTCATTAACCCCCTCCCCTATTTATCAGATCTAGATTAAAATCCAACCCCTCCCCCTCCTTTATAAAAAAACTCGAGAGTACTTGCTTATTCATATTAAGTTTTTCCCACACTTTCTTTAGTTTTTAATTCTAATTTGTTACAGGCACGATCTGAAAAAGTAAAAAAAAATCTTTCTTGTGAATGAAGATGCTTATAAATATGAGTCCCCTATTCTTACTTAAACAAAGATAATTTTGATATTCCATTACTGTCTCAAGACCTAACAAACTATTTTTAACACCCTTATATTGGTAAAATATCTGTGAAAACAAAGTGAACATTACAGACAACCATTAAAAGATATTGTAAGTCGGTTACCATAGGATTTATCACTTCATTAAATGTATCTAACTTTTTACTACAAAGGATCACTTTTTTTTTCAAAATAAAGTAGAAGACTAACAAATAATAATGAATGTAAGTTGTTAAAGAAACTTTAAAATAAGCTTACAAATATCTCCTTTGTTGAGTTGAACCAATAGCTCTTGTGATGTACAATTGCTATGACACATGTCAGGTGAAGACATCTTAAAATTTGATTGGCCACTTACTTGAACTATGTATGTAATTCCATCTTGATTAATGTCAGGCTAAAACAAAAAATTTCTAAAAATTCTTACTTTTGTCAGGCTGAAACAAAAAATTCTAAAAATTCTTAATTTTGACTTTGTTTAGACACTCTTTCAGACAAATAAAATAAAGTTTTCTCCATTCTTACATTTATACTGGTTGCCTAAACACAAACCCATTCATATGTACTGAATAATACCGTATAATTTATAGATATACATTTGCAGATATTTTTACCAGTGACTCGATCACTTTCTAAAAGTGTTTGTTTAAATTCTGTTACTTTGCAGGTAACAGATTTCAACAAACACTTTTAGAAATATTTCTCTAATGGTATAGCATTAAATAGATTTCTGCGCAATTTGGATTATTCCAAGTTAATAAGTGTTTGCTAAGATTGGCTAAAGCCAAAAAAAATATTTAAAATGTTGGACTCACAGTCTTTAATAACACATTCTGTTAGTCAGTTGAGCAAATGTATATCTTTAACCCTTGTAAGTGGATTGGTAAAGTTATTTGTAATGTATTGAATTGATTTTAAAATGTCGTTTTGTATTTTAGAAAGTAATTTAATCACTTTCTAAAATACAAAACAACTGAGTTGACTCAATTTATAAATATCAAAATTTAATAAAAATTTGCGTGGAAACAAAGAATCTATTTTAGTGACTTGCTAAAGAAGCATCAGAAACTTCTAGTATGTTACAAATTTGCCAAAATATTTTTGTAAACTTTCTAAAGAACTGAGAATTATTGGGCCTGGTGGAGAGTAAAAAATTTCATTTAATAGCCCTTATAATAAAGAGTTTTTTTAATTCAAATTAATGCATTTAACTACATTTAAAATCATATATGTTATTAAAAAAAAAAATACAAAAAAAATTGGAATTTTTAAAAGATTAATACTTTATCGCATAAGTATTTATATCGCATATATCGCATAAGTATTTATACTTAATTATTTAAAATTATATATTAGCAATTGTGGTGACAAGGGAGCTCTTAGCCAGTTTAAATGGAACAAAAAATGAAATAAAAAATTCTTAAAAAGAAACTAAGAATTTATAGATTTATTGTTATAAGTCTACATGACATCATATACTGAATTTCTTACAAATTTAACAGGCTTAAAATAAAATATCAAGTTTGTAGTTGTGGTGTACATTATAAAGACTCAGAGATACAGAGTAAAATGAAAAAGACAAGCTTCAACTTGAACAAGTTTCAGTCAAAGTCGAACAACAGATTAGTTTTTATTAATATACATTTATTATTTAATTTTATTCATAAAAAATATTTTTCAGCATTTTCTTTAAAATAAACACATTTATTGCAAAACTTGCATTTGTCAATCCTAATAGTTTTTTAACTTTAAGTGTTAAAAGACAATTTATATAATGTATCCAAATTTATATATTGTATTTGCAAAGTTTGTCTTTTAAAATAAAAAATTGCTAATACAATATATAAATTTGGAAACACCAAACCTATATATATATATATATATATATATATATATATATATATATATATATATATATATATATATATATATATATATATATATATATATATATATATATATATATATATATATATATGTCTATCGTATTAGGGCACCGCCCAAACTAAAAGTTTCGGAATTTTTTTTTTAACGTTTTTTACGGAAAATTTTTTTTTTTTTTTTTGAAAAACGCTGATTTTCCACTAAATTTTTCTGGGACAGAGGGGTACCGCCGCCCAAATTTTTTTCCTAGAATAGGCCCTGATATATATATTTATATAACTACAACTCGTTTAGTTTATGATTAAACTGTACAAATAGGTGAACATGTGTACATTTACCCACTAAACACCATAACATTGATATTCAAATTTGAATTCCTTTATCCTAAACTATAAACTTTTCAAAAAAAGCTTTTCAGCAATAGGAATAGTTAATCCTTTAAAAGGGGGTATACTTAATCCCAGAATCAAGTATCCCACATTTAAGAATGGACAGGAAGGCATTCGATCACACGTTATATGACCATGCACATAATATTTTGACAACTTGATCAAGGTTATTAAGGATTTTGAAAATTTAATCATTTCAAAATAAAAGTTTAAAAAATTAGCTAGACTACACTAAAGACTTTTACAACTATTGGTACAAAAACGTAAGTTTTAATTTCATAATAAAAAAAGTACAGGTTTCTGTTAATAATAAATATAACATTTAAATCACTATAAAAATGAATATTAATAAAATATAAAAAAATAATAATAGAATAATAATAAAATACTTTTTGAAAATTTTAAAGACAATGAATAAAAAGTAAAATAAATAATAATAAATTAATTTAAATTATTTAAAAAAAAAATTTGCTTGAAGAACTTTACACAACTAAGATAAAAACCAAGCTTTACAATTAAAAAAAAGAATTTAGAAAAAATTTATTTTAAGTTAAAAAATTTTTTAAATAGTCTTTTAAAAAAAGTTATTTTTTAAAAAGTTTAATTACTTAAAGTCAAGTCTTTTTTTATTTTCAATTTCATAAAGATTTTTTTTTAAGAAACACTTTGTGTTTCTCAAAAAACTATTTTTAATGTATTTATTTTATTCATATTTATTCTTTCACATGCTGCATAAGTACTCAGCTAAAGATGGAGTAATAAAGAGAGTTCCACCCAATGCAGAAAAAAATAAAGAATCTGTAAAAGCTGTAAAAAATGGTGGAAGTTACAAAATATCCTCTATGCAGTTTGGAATAAATGTCATGACATTGAAGAGGTTATGCAAAAAAAAAACATAACATCTCTCCCTGGGTACAATGTGCGGCAAATTTTTTCAACTGATCAGGAAAAAGAATTTGGTATTTTTTAGAAGACATGTCTAAGATGTATTACAGTCTAACTGTGGTTCAACTGCGTAAATTGGCATACTCTTATGCTGCAACAGACAAGACACCATATTCTCCCACATGGGATAAACCAAGCAAGCTGGCTGCGACTGGTACAAAGGTTTTCTTGATAGAAACGTTAAATTGGCATTGATAACACTAGAAATCATACAAAGAACAGGTTGACACATAGAACAGCTTATAATCATCACAGTTGGTGAATTTTTAACTAAATTAAGAAAAGTTTATACAAGGTACAACTTTCTTCCCAAACGTATATGGAATACCGACAAAACTGGCCTTACTACAGTACACAAGCCTGCTAAAATTATTGTCGTGAGAGGGTAAAATCAGGTAATTTTGTTGCTAAAAATAACAACCACTCTAAAGAAACAAAAATAAAAACAGTACACAAATTGTTTGAATTATGAATTTTTTACTATTTTTTCCTATTTAAATTTATTTATTTCCTAATTTGTTATTTTGCTTTCTTGGTTTTTGAAATTTTTTTCCGCAATGCATGATATAAAATTTTGCAAACAGCTGTAACCAAGTTGTTAAAAATAAAATACTCATGCGTGTCACACAAGAAAAAAAACCAAATGCATTTCCTGGAAAGGCTATACATGTGTATTACTTTTAAGAAGAAAATTTTACATCAACTGTAAAATTTAGCAAGTTTTGTCCCGATAGAATTAAATTTTCATTAATTGCAGAGAAAAGACATCTAAAGAAAGTCAAGTTGTGGTAGGATCAAAAAATTATTTAGACATTACCAGGAAATGAAAAAACAGTTGAGCAAAGTATAAAAAAAAAATAACATGATCTGAAGAAGTTAAAAAAAAAAAAAGGAAGTGCTTCTTCAAATCATGTTCTTTTTCTTTTATACTTTGCTCAACTGATTTTTCATTTCCTGGTATTGTCTAAATAATTTTTTGATCATACCACAACTTGACCTTCTTTAGATGTCTTTTCTCTGCAATTAATAAAAATTTAATTCTATCGGGACAAAACTTGCTAAATTTTACAGTTGATGTAAAATTTTTTTCATAAAAGTAATACACATGTATAGTCTTTCCAGGAAATGCATTTGGTTTTTTTTCTTGTGTGACATGCATCAGTATTTTATTTTTAACAACTTGGTTACAGCTGTTTGCAAAATTTTATATTATGCATTGCGAAAAAAAAAAATTCAAAAACCAAGAAAGCAAAATAACAAATCAGGAAATAAATTAAATTTTAATAGGAAAAAATAATAAAAAATTCATAATTCAAACAATTTGTGTACTGTTTTTATTTTTGTTTCTTTAGAGTGGTTGTTATTTTCAGCAACAAAAATGGTTAAGGCAGAAGAAAAAAAAAAAATTTGAATTCTAGATTAAAAATAATGATATTTTAAATATTTTTTTTGTTTTTTTTAAAGAGAAAAGCGAAAATATAAATTGCTATCTGTTTGTAAAATATATTTGTATAAATTTAATGTTTAACAAGCATATATTGTGCCTCTATGAAAACGTCTATGTAATGCAATATACTTTTATGTATAACTTTTTTTATTATATAAGTATGTTGAATAATATTTTATGAACATAAGGATATGCACCTTTAGCTTACTTAGAGAAGGCGTTTACTTCAAATGTGGAATGTCTATGGTTCAAATTCCATATCTTCTCAATTTTTTTTTATTTTTCTACATTTTCCCTTCCTTTTGGTCTACTATGTTATTGGTGAAATATATGTATGAAGCAAACCCTGTATCCACATAAGCTACATGTGCGTGTCCTGATGAACAAATAAATATAATTATGTAATAAAAAAACTTTTAAATAAAAGTATATGCATGCATTACATGGATGTTTTCATATAAGGACAATATATTCTTGTTACATTAAAATTATACAAATACATTTTAAAATTTAAAAGAAAAAAAAAAAATGAAGGAAAATAATTCTTTTTAATGTCGACTTATTTTTTTGCTTACTGCTTACAAACTGCATTTTTTGTTGCTTTGCTTTATACAATTTTGTTACTGAAAAAAATAAACCACTCTAAAGAAACAAAAATAAATACAGTACACAAATTAATAATTTAACTACGAGACAAAAAGGAAGGCTTGTATTATTATTGCTAATTTCTTTTTCATTTTATTTTGCAAACACTCTAAACATTATTATAATCTTTTTTGATTTTTCTGTCAATGAATTTATCTGTAAAATAACCAGAGATAAAAAGTCAGAACTTTTTTTATTTTCCAGATTTCAATCTCATCAAATTTTTGTCTCTCAACCAACATATAGATTTTTATTTCTGATAACTCATTAATCAGCATAGCTTTAAAAAAAAACAGCGCCAAATTTTAGTAGCTCAGAGGGCATAAAGTCTCTTCACTTTCTTGTAAATAAAATACTATCATTATAATATTATAATAAAATATTTTTTTTTAATTTACTTATTGTTTAATATAATTCTTTAGATGTTATTACAGATACTATGTTAGAAAATATTTTTCAAGATAACATTAAATAATAGAATTGTATATATAACCTACAAAATCAGACCCTGTTGTACTTGCCTTTTTTTTATGTCTTTATACCTCTCATTGTAAATTAAATTTTTTACTTTTAACTATATAACATTGGTGGGTTAAAATAAATAATTAAACAAAAAAAAAAAAAAATACAAAAAATATATAATATAAAAATATATTTTATATTAAGTATATTTTATTTTACAAAACAGATGTTAAAATGTTTTTAAACAAAACTTATGGATGACCTATCAGCCTATCAACTTACATTTTCATATGCAAAACCATTCTGAAGAAAAAGCACAGTTTTCTCAAAATAGATTTCACTTGTATTGGGTACGAACAAAGGTCTTGGAAATAATTTACGATAAAATCTTGTTCCATAAGTATGACAGTTTGTCCTTAAAAAAAATGAACTTAGGAGATTTTGTATTTTAAACAATATTTATATGAAATATAAATTTAAACAAAATTAAAGAACAAAACAAAAAACTCTAATTTTTATTCATTAAAAAATTAAAGTTAATTTTAAAATGACACTGCATTATCATTGCAATATAAAAAAACACATAAAATAATGTGTAAATAGTTGCATCAGTCATCATATTCATTCTCTTAAATAATAATTTAGAAATGTTTTTGCATCCAGTTTCTAATATAGACTTGAGGACAAGAAAGAACTTTATCATTTAGACAAAAAAACGCATAAAATAATGTGTAAATAGTTGCATCAGTCATCATATTCATTCTCTTAAATAATAATTTAGAAATGTTTTTGCATCCAGTTTCTAATATAGACTTGAGGACAAGAAAGAACTCTATCATTTTGACAATTCAAAACTTAAAACTTTGATTTATTAACGACATTATAAAAAATTTTCCCTAAAACTTCTGAGAAAAAATATAAAATTTAGTAATCTGAGAATAAAATAGTTTACACATTTTATCACTTAAGCATCAGCCAGTACTTTTTGCATTGGTTTGATGCAATAAAACACAGCCACAACAAAACTAACTCATTTTTAAGTGTTTAATTAACAATATATATATATATATATATATATATATATATATATATATATATATATATATATATATATGTATTGCATAAAATGTCAGTAGTAAACGATAATCCAAGAAGACAAAGAGGACTCAGTGAGAGGGTTGCCATTCATTAACATAGGGATGTTGACAGTATTGCAATAGTTGCTTGCAGTAAATAACTGAGTTTTGTTGGAGTTGAAATTCTTAAGCCTTAATCTAGTACAGAATTGAGATTAGATTCAAGATCAGCTGAATGTTCTAAGTGACCAAAAAGAGAAGACTTTTTGTAATGACAGGACTATAAAGTTCAGTTGTCAGCAAATAGAGCCACTTTAGATGAAAGATTGTTAGGGTGATCATTAATATAGATAAGAAAAAAAAAACAGAGGCAGAACCTCGAGGTACCCTTAAGTAAAACCTTGAGGTAACCAAAACAGGATAGAATCTTGAGATACCCTAGAAGTTATTGGAAATGAAGAAGACTCTTAGCCTTCGTGGATGACTTTATAAATTATACTTGATACACCTTATGAAACAAGCTTATGGAGAAGACCAGCATGCCAAACTTAAAAAAAAAACTTCAGATATTTCAAGAGCAATAGCTGTTGCCTTGCTGCCTCCACCTAATGCATGATAGGATAAGTCAGTCACACTAGTTAGCAAGTCAGCCATAGACTGAGAAGATTGAAAACTATATTGATTATAAGAAAGCAAGTTAGACTCAAGCTGAGATGTTAGTAAGTTGTTGACTCAAAGACCTTGCTAATAATAGAGAGAAAACTGATTGGGTGATAGTTGGAGGGGTCAGAATGTCCTCTAGAATATTTAAAAAATGGAACGCCATTTTCCATCAAGCAGGAAAACAATATTCAGTCTGGCATTTATTTAACTGCTTAGAGAAAATAGAAGAGAGTTCTGGAGTGCACTTTTATAAGACTAGGATAGAAATGTTGTCTGGACCACAATTCGTAAAAGAGTTTAATTAAGAAATAACTTAGAGATGGAATGTTCAACTTTATTAATGACACTGTTAAAGACTTTCCAAAAGACTTAAATTTTTTTAGATGATATAGGATTTAGTAAACTGGGAACAATCGAGCTTAGCATCAGACAGCATCTTTTTACGATGATTTCTTGTGATAATAAAAAAGTGTTTGTTCTCAAGAGAATTGTTATAAAAAAATTGAAATGAAATTAAAATAATTATCATTTGATATAAAAAAGTGAAAAACATGGAGTAGAATAAGATTTGACAAGAAGGAAAAAAACCTTCCATACCTGCATGGATCCAGGAAGTTGTGAAAGCATTTATCAGCAAAAAGAGAAGACATCAGCAGGCCTTGTTTTAAATAAAAAAAAGGCTTAGCAAATTAGCTCGCCGTGATTATTGACATCATAATATTATTTTATTTATGGACATTAATTTTTAAAGCTACAACAATAAAATAAATTACTGCAAAACAGGTTTAATTTACTAATAAGGAAGAAAAAATCTAGAATTATTATCTTATGAACGTAGACACTGTGGAATGTCTACTTAGTTTCAACTTTCTTTTTTTTTTTAATATTGACGAAATAAGTTTATCATTATATTTTTTATTGTCATTTAAAATAAATTAACTTCTTTCTCTTCTCTACATTTGTATGGAATTTACCTATCTCACAACTCCTCAAACCTGCAGAAGACAATCTAGTGGCACTTTATAAAACAGTGCTTACAATGGAATTGGCTATCGAAGTGGGTCTTAATTTGAAAACAATCATTACAAATTAAAAGTATATTGATGATTACTTTCCAAAGATTGTTATCCAAGTCATTATACCTCATACTAAAACTTTCTTAAATCAAGATATCAATTTTGATGGGCTAATGCGCATATAGGCAAAGCAAAAATGTAATGGGGTACCATACAAAAAAGTATTGAGAGTTCAACTCTTTCACCCAAATATCCTCTGAGATCTATATCCAAATATTTGAGAGATTATAGGTAGTTGCCATCAGCAACAATGGTAATAATATCATTATTTAACTTTAAAAATTAAAAAAAAAAATTTCCACCCTTTTTTTTTCTTTTATAATTTATTTTATGAACTTTAAAAGAAAAAATTTGCAATTGTGATGCACTTACATGAACTAACACTCATTATTTATTTCTGAAATTTTTTTAAATTTATTTTTATTCATTTGAACTAAATAAAACAAAGTGACAAATTTAAATGCAATTGATTAAATTTAAAGTAAGAAATTTTTAAAAAATTATCCTTTAAATAAATCTTATTGATTACAGCTATATTTTTCAAGAAATGATTTTAAAGTAATTTAGCCGCATTTTTATGATAATTAAGTTACAGTTGTTATTTATATTTCTATTACATATTTCCAAAATATAAATGCATCTCTGCATAACATTAGCAAGTTATAAGTAATTTTTTTTTTAATTATAGTTTAGTATATATTGATTGTTTAAAGTATAAATAACAATTGAAAAATGTTTGCTTCTTTGGACAATACTACTTCTTGACATTTATTAAATATAAATGAGATTAAAAATAAACAAAGATTACAACTTTACTGAAATAATAATCTTTATCTTCTAAAATAATTAATAATTAGTAAAATAATTGAGAATCTCAAACTCTGAAAACCCATTTTCTTGAAACTATCAAATATGGACAAGCGTCTTTTGTGGTTTATACCATCGATTTGCATATCAAAATGCTGTGCTAATTTTTAAACAAGTTTTATACCACCTTGTGACATTTTAAAATATTACAAAAATTATTTGAAAATACATAATATCCCTGCCACTAAAAAGAAACATAAAATACTTTAAAGGACAATTGGTATTATATCTTTTAATATTATATTTCAATCTAAATTTGTTACTACTTACTTTTGTTTCTAAATTTGTTACCACTTACAATTTGATTAGATATGTAATTAAATGTGCGCTTTTTAGTTTTCTACACAACCATCAAATGTGTGCTTTTCAGATTTCTACACACCCTTTATTAATCATGTAATGTTCTCTATAGGAATTTAAATTAATAAATCTACTAACCATGTTAGCGAAATGTTTCTTTGCATAATTTCTTCTTCTGTAAATTTAAAATAGTCACTAACTTTACCAATACTGTCATCTGTATTGTAATTGCATATAGCTTTATTCAACTCATTTGAATAATTTGAAAAAAGATCTTTAAAACTCTGGAAGTTAACAGTTATATTATAGTAACCAGGAACATTTTTTATAACATATGGTTGAGAATAGTCATTTTCCAAATAATCAGTGACATTAAAATTTTCTATGCTAACAACTTTAACTTCTTCTACCCCCTCACAGAAGCTGCAACCAGGTAATTCTAAAAAAAAAGAGCAATAAATGAGAAGAAATGATGTTTGAACTTATTTGATTTGTTATAATTTTTATAGAAACAAAACATTTTTAAAAAATATTTATAGAAACAATAAAATAATTCATGCAAGCTAAACTCAAATTTAAATAAAAATTTATAAATTATATATTAAAAAATTAAATAATAAACTTAAAACAAACCACATAAATGTTTGAATGTAAAAAATATAGTAAAATGAAGTATAGTGTAAATAAATAAAGTAATAGTGTAAAAGATTCTTTAGATTTGATTATGCTATAATTGAAACAAAATATAATTAAATTACAAAGCTTAAATCAACTGAAATTTATCTCATCTAAATATTTAAACACAGAGAATAAAAAACAATTGTTTAGGTTAAAAAATAACAAATCTCTGGGTTTCAATAGAGTTTATTTGTAGATATCAAAAGAATGTCAAAAACTGCTACTTTTAATGATATTTTTAAGCTCATAAAAATAGAAAACAGGTCTTAGAGATCATAATAATAACAGATCCAGTAGAGATAAGCTAATATTATTTCAAGAAAGTATAGCATACTCAGCAAACAAGCCTAAAAAAACATGAATTTGTGCACTAAAATGTAATCAATAGGCAAATATAATGCATTATTACTGAGATATTGATTTTACAAAAAAAAACATTAAAAAATACTAAGAGAAATAAAAGAAATTGTTACAAAATGTACATAGAAACTACTGGAACTAGTTGTGCATTAATTGACCTCTGAAAATTAACTGGTAAATACTTTAAATCTCAATTGACACACTCCTGCAATAAAAATTCCATAGCAAAAACATTATTTGTAGTTTATGAGTGTATAACTCTAATTCATTGTTTGTAGTCATTTTCAACAGATTTAAATAAGAAATCTCAGTTTATTTTCCATATGTTTTGACTATTTATATACTATTTACCAGTAAAAATAAGTGTCAACAAAATTTTGCTGATCAATCCAGTGAATATTGATTGACTATAAAAAATAATATTGTATTGAGAAACAAGTATTTATTAATGTCTTTTTAAAATATTAAATTTTTTATATTTTTCACACATTATGCTTTTAAAATATATATATATATATATATATATATATATATATATATATATATATATATATATATATATATATATATATATATATATATATATATATATATCAGTGAAGTAATAAAAAAAGTCCTCTTAATGTGACCAGAAATTTTTTGGGCATATCTGTACCAAAAATTTTGTCTACATTAAGAGGACTTTTTTTATTATTATTTTATTTAGTTTATAAATAATGCAACTTGCCCTAGCATTTTATGTTTTTCCTACAAGAATTAAATAATTAAACAAAATAATGTTTGTGTATAATATGTAATATAATAATAATATATAATAATATGTAATATAATAATAATGTAATAAACATTTATTACAAAATGATGGCTTTAACATCAACGTCTATTAGACGCAAATTTTTATTTCCCTGCTTTTTATTTGCTTACTAATTAAAAGAGTATTTCATAAACAAGCAATAACTATAACATTTAATAAACAACGTTTGTATGGTTTTTTTATATAGGCTTGAAAAGATCTATTGCATATCGTATTTACTGCATATTAAGGTCAATTTATTCAAAATTTTAATTAATTAATTCAAATATTAATAACTTTCTTCTTGTTCTACTCTTACTTTGCAAATCAAGTTTTTCGCCAAAATTATAATGTTTTAAAAATTTTTATTTGTTTTATATTTCAAAATATTTGTAATGCAATTTTACTGTTATTTGAAATGAAAAAGTTTAAAGCTCATATAGTTTAATTGCTTTGAAAATTATATAATAAAAACGCAAGCGGAGAGAAACTCAAATTATAATATTTTTAAAATAGTAATGTTTATATTTACAAATGCTAAGCATTTCATATTTTAATTTAATCAAAATGTGCATTTTGAATTTTAATCCAATTGTAGCATATTCTATATTTCATCAATGTGAATTAAATTGATGTGAATTTCATCAATGTGAATAAAGCATTCTGATTGACTTAAAATACATTTTAAATGTGTTTTAAAAGTGGTGTTTTAAACGTTGGTTTTTCTAAGCCACATTAATAACATAACAAATTTTATCAACATAATTATCATAACAAATTTTATCACTTTTTAAGTAATAAAAAAGTATTTTATTTTATTTTTTAATATAAAATTGTTTTAAATTGAGTTTGGCAGAAATTTGGAGATCCATATCGGTATATCGGTATCAAAATCAGCCTGGATAAGTCATAATTGAGGAAAACACCCTAATTTGATGTTGAAGTTTAAACTGTATACTAAGAATACTAATATCGCCATCTTTTTGAAAACGTCTTTTAATTGGATTTTATTTAGAAATCAATCGTTTAGAAAATCTTTTTATTGTCATCATTATTGAAATTTATTTAAATTCAGTTAAATATTATAATGAATATATATATATATATATATATATATATATATATATATATATATATATATATATATATATATATATATATATATATATATATATATATTAAAAAATCTTTGAGACAGCTTTTTAGATGTACATACATCGACTGACAAATAGGGATTAGCACAATTAAATGTACATATATCAACTGACAAATAGGGATTGGCACAATTAATCAATTAGAAACTAATGGATTTTGTTTAAAATATTTTTTTTTTAAGTGTTAATAAAAACCAGACTGTTTTTAAATTAACTAAAAAAAATAATCTAATAATATTGCGTATGAAGAAAATGGCAATTATTAGCCTTTTTAGTGAAATTTTTTAAACTTCAACATCAAATTCAATTTTTTCCTCAAATTTTCAGGTCAATTCTTAATCAGCATGGAATTCTTTATCAAAATCAATCATAAAATGTCAGAGTTAAGAAACTGAAACAGTGCCTATATATATATACATATTATACATATTATCTTTACCTTCCACGTAAAATGGATTTCTCAACAAACACTCTCCATCATGATATTTGGATAAATCGTGCAGTTTATAAAAAGGTAATGCTATAAACCGCATATATCTTTGTATATGATAGTGGACTTGGTATCCAAACATTATTTCATTGTACTTTGATGAAACTACTTTGTTATTTTCAATTAACGCATTAAATGCTAGGTAAGTGATTAAAAAGCATACCAAAAATTTATAGATGTATGACTTTAATGATTTCTTCACATTATTGTACTTGTACCACTGAAAACCTAAAATTAAAATTTTATTATTGTTGGCAATTTTATTTGTAAAAATTAAAGTAAAACCTATAGAATCTAAAATATTACTTTCAAAAAAAACAGCAATTTCTTCATCGATTTCTTCTTCGATCCAACCATCATTTAATTTATTTTCTTTAAAGTTTGCTATATCATTTTTCAGTTTCTTTAAGAGTTGTTCTTTATTAACCATATTTTTTCTTCAAAAAATAAAAAAGTAGATAAAATTATTCAAGTATATTTAAAGCTTTTATATAAATTTAAAAAAATGATATATATATATATATATATATATATATATATATATATATATATATATATATATATATATATATATTTATATATATATATATATATATATATATATATATATATATATATATATATATATATATATATCATATAAAAACATTTTAAATGAGCTTGTTTGTAGATGTTTTCATTAACTGGAAATTAGAAATTCACTGTACTTTACTAAATTCATTATTTTCAGCAGATGTAACCTTGTAATGTAAATAACTAACCATACTATTGTTTTATTTTGTTAACTAAACTAACAAGAGAAAGTCAAATCGCACGTTTTTTTCAAGGGTTTTCAAAAATTACGCAAAATACGGGCGGTAGAAACACTATTTGGACTTCGGCAGAGTAAAATAAAAATGCAACATTGGCATTTTCCTTAGCACCACCACTTCATTAATACAGAAATCTTTAGCACACAATCCATTAATACAGAAATCTTTCAAATTTTTTATCGCATATAACTTTAAATTTTCTTTATTTATAAGAAATTCAAAATTTCTAACTATCATGGCCGACGACACGGGTTTCGAAGTGGGCACAATCGTCTAAAAAAATCTCATAAAAAAAAAGTTCATTTAAAAAAAAATACTGGGGGGGGGGGGGGAGAGGCTAAAAAAATATTAGGGAAAAAAAATATTGCGGGGGGAGGGTCCGCCCCTTTTATTTGCTTTAATTATTTGCAAGCTTTGTAATTTAAGTAATTTAGTTTAGTGTGTGTGCTGGGCCTTATAATAGTTTTTTTATTTTTTTTTATTTTTGTTCTTTATTACATTTTAAACAACATTCCGTTATAAATATACAAATTAAAAAATAAAATATAGAAGTTACAAGAAAATAACAAAAAAGAAAAATCGTAAATAACAAATAAAAGAACGCGGGGACTCGTAGAAGACCGTAAGGTCTTGTCGTCGAGAACCGCTAATATGAACGTGATACAAACAAATTAAAAATATTCAGAAAACCAGTTATAAATATAAAGATCAGTTATATAAATACTATATAAGTTAATAAACATATAAATTGTCGTATATATTGATACATATTCTTGGTAAATATATAAATTATAAAATAATAATAGTTCTTTGATAAGTGGAGGTAAAATGGGAAAACTATTAAAAATTATTAAAAGTAAATTCATAGATCGTCAATTGTTAAAATTAATTCTTTTAACTTTCGTTTAAAAGAGTTGTAGTTACATTGTTGGATAAAATCTTGAGAAAAGTTTTTTAAGACAATTTTGTTCCATGAGAATGGTCCGCGAGAAGCAATGCAGAATTTGCTCAAGTTAGTTTGAAAAAATGGCTGCTTAATAAAATTGTTATTGCGTAAAAAGTATTTATTTTTATCTTTTAACATATACAAATCATGGAAAGAAACTGGTGAAGAATTAGTTTTACATTTGAACATAAAGCAAAGAGTATTATAAACATTGAGTTGATATACATTTAAGGCGTTCATTTTTTTTAATAGAGGCTTTGCATGAGTAAGACGTTCACTAAAATGTATCAAACGTGCTGCATGCTTCTGATGACGATAAAGAGGTTCAAGTTTGCTTTTATTGGTGCAAGCCCATGCAATGTTTTCATAATTTATATGGCTATGAATAAAAGAGAAATATAACTGAGTTAAAATTTTTTTATTTAAAAAGTTTCTTGCTTTATATAAAATTCTTAACATTTTTGAAGTTTTGTTATATAAATTTTCAATATGATTTTTCCACGAAAGATTATCATCAATATAAACACCTAAGAATTTTGTAACGTTTACTCTAATTATTTCGATGTTATCAATAAAAAGGGATGGCATTTCATAAGGCAGTAGTTTTTTCTTAGAGGGCGAAAGAGAGTTTCTTAGAGGGTGAAAGAGAGTCCAGTTTGTTTTTTGAATATTAAGCGATAATTTATTTAATTTAAACCAGTAAGAAATCTTGTTTAATTCTACATTCATAAGTTGAAACAGAGTAGTGATGTTAGTATGAGATAAGAATAAGTTTGTATCGTCTGCAAACATGATTGTTTTTAATCTGGATACTTTATAGAGATCGTTGATATATATAAGAAAAAGAAGTGGTCCGAGAATAGATCCTTGAGGAACACCACAAGTAATTTCTAACAAACTTATTGGAGAAGAAGCGTCAATGGTTACAAATTGTTTGCGATTACTTAAATAACTTTTTATCCACTTTAAAACATTTCCAGTTATTCCGTAATTTTTGAGTTTTTTAAAAAGAATTTTATGATCTATTGTATCAAAGGCTTTCGATAGGTCGATGAAGATGCCTAAAGTATATTTGGATTTCTCGAAAGATTCTGTGATACTACGTGTTAGCTGGAGAATCGCGTGCTCTGTAGAGTTGTTTTTTTTGAATCCATACTGGTGGTTAAATAATAAATTGTTGTTAGTTAAATGAGTGTAAATTTTGTTATAAATAATTCTTTCTAAGACTTTAGAAAAGAGTGGAAGAACAGAGATAGGGTGATAGTTATTGATATTTGTTAAGTCTCCTCCTTTGAAAATCGGTGTGATTTTTGCAATTTTAAATTGATCAGGAAAAATTCCTTGTCTGATTGAAAGTGAAAAAATTTTAAAAAGCACGTCTTTTATAGCCTTGTATGAATTTTTTATTACATTGCCATTTATATCATCGAAGTCACTTGCTTTATTTGGTTTTAGCGCACTAAAAGCTGTTTCAAAGTCTTCAAACGATAATTCCAAAAAATCAAGATTAGCTAATGCAATAGAAGAGATATCACTTGTTTTCTTTATATTTGGTATATTTCTTACTAAATTAGGTCCGATCGTGACAAAAAATTTGTTTAGTTCGATTACTATTTCACGTGGATCATAAGAGATATCACCATTAATTTTAATGCCATTTTTCAGAGCGCATGATTTAATTTTTGTTTTACCGGTAATTTCTCTTAAAATTTGCCATGTGCGTTTTGAATCACATTCGTATCGCATAAGTAAATCGGAATAGTATTTTTTTTTAAGATTCTTTCTAATTTTTTCAAATTCTCTCGCATATTTTTTGTAAATGGTTTTACTTTCTATCGTTTTTTCTTTAAGGTATTTAATGTATAACTTTAGTTTGACTTTTGATGATTTTCTTAGGGTGTTTGTAATCCATGGTGATTTTACACTTTTGGTTTTTAGGTTTATTTCGCGTTTCGGAAAATTTATATCATATACCTCATGGAAAGATTTAAAAAATTGGTTGTAAGCAAAGTTTACGTCAGATGAAGTGTTTATATCTTTCCAATGAAGCAATGACAGTTGTTCATGAAACGATAATAAATTAGCTTCGTTATAGATACGTTTTAAAAAGGTTGTTTTTTCATTAGGTAGTACTTTTGGTTTTATATTTATAGAGAAAAAAATGGGGAAATAATCGGAAATGTCACTTTTAGTAAAACCCTTTTTTAAAGATTCATTAAAAACATCGTTAGTTACAATATTATCAATTATTGAAGCCGTTTTTTCGGTAATTCTGGTTGGTCTATCTATTAAAGGAACGTTCCATTTTTGAATAATTCGTTATAAAACTTTTGTGTGCTTTGCTTGACGTGATAATCAAAACAATTTAAATTATAATCACCAATTATATAGATTAATTTATTTTCGGTCAGCTTTTTTCATAATATTAGTATTTAAATATATGTTGAAGCATTCAATTTTTCCAGAAGGTGGGCGATAACAACAACTTAAAAGTATGTTTTTATTTTTTTGGGTTAAAATTTTCAATTGTTAAAATCTCTTTATCGTCATCAGAAATACTCAGGTCGAGCCTTGTAAAAAATTGAAAATTTTCCTTTATGTAAATAAGCACACCGCCGCCTCGTTTATTTGCTTTACGCGCTAATGATATTATTTTAAAACCAGGTAAATGGGTATTACAGTCATAATTCACTTCGTCAGAATCGCACCACGTTTCGGTTACACAAATTATATTAAAAACGAGTATCTTTCATACATAAGCAAAAGCTTTCAAAATTTTTTTTTAAGCTTCTTATATTTTTATGCATTTTAGGCATTCAAATGGTCACGCTCTAGGAGGTCCTTTATTTCATGTGCGTAAAAATAACAACAATTATTTTGTAAAGCACCTGCTTCGCTAAAATAATTTAGATCAGATCTCTCATCAATAAGGTATTTATTTGTTTGAAGAAAATTAAAGGTTAATTTAAAATTATCTAGTAAAACTGAATCCATTTTAATAGTTTAGTATACTTTTAGTGCCTAGCGAAAACAAAGGAATTCCAATTTTTAAGCATCGCGCGTAACAAGTTTATTATAAACCACTTTTGCATATTTACCTTTTGTTCTAAGTTCTTTCGCTTCAATAAACAATTTCTTTCTTAATTCCGTTGTTCTTTCGCAGTAATCTTCATTAATGTATAGGGGTTCTGTCCAGAGTTTTAACTTCGAGTAATTTTCCATTATCGTTTGTTTATCTTTATAGTATAAGAATTTGACAACTATAGTTCTGTTTTTCATTTTTCCACCATAACCAAGTTTTCCAGTTCTATGTGCTCTTTCAATTATTATATTGTTATTAATACCAAGTCTTGAATTTAATATTTCGTGTATTTTTTTTTCGCTTTCTTCCCAAGTTTCATTTTCACTTTCTTGGATCCCATTGAATCTTAAGTTGTTTCGCCGACTGCGGTCCTCCAATTCTGCTAGTTTGTCTTTAATTATATTATCGCTGTGTTCAAGTTCTATGCTAGTTCTATGCTAGCGTTCTATGCTAGTTCTATGCTAGTTCTATGCTAGTTCTATGCTAGTTCTATGCTAGTTCTATGCTAGTTCTATGCTAGTTCTATGCTAGTTCTATGCTAGTTCTATGCTAGCGTAGGAAAACGAGACTGAAGCATTATTTGCAATATATTGTCAATAAAATCTGCAATATATTGTCAATAAAGTCTGAAAATATATTGTCAATAAAGTCTGAAAATATATTGTCAATAAAGACTGAAGCATTATTTGCAATATATTGTCAATAAAGTCTGACGGTTTTACCTTTTGCACTTATAAAAGAGGTTACTTTAGTAGACTTTTTGGAGGCAAAAAAGGTTTTTCCATGATAGAATCTCATCAGTGACGGATCCAGATATTTTTGGTGGGAGGAGTGGTTGAAATTTTTTTGTATTTTGTATCACATTTGCGTCTCGTAAAAAAAAAAAAAAAAAAAAAAAGTCCTTCATTTCAAAAATACTTTAGGACTTTTAGATTCTGGCGGGATTCTTGATGAAATTCAGTGACAGATCCTGGATCCGTCACTAATCTCATCAAATATAACTCCTACAATCTTTGTATGCTTTTCTCGCTATATTTTATTTTTATTGACAGTTTTGGTAAGTTTAACGGAAAATTATTTGATTGTGTTTTTTTTATGGGAAAGAGTAAAGTTTGTTTTTTCACATCATACAAAATTGACAATATTTTATGAGAGTTTCATTATTGATATACATTAAAAGTAGTAATGTTCTCAGGGTTGACCCCTGTAGGATTCCGCACTCACTATTAGAAGCTTTGCATTCAATATTATACTGACTGATATGCTTAATGTTATGCCAGATCAATTAATTTTTTTCCACAAATTTTATATTTCTGAAACGCTAAAAATAGTTTTAAATTTGTCATTTTCCTAAATACCCAACAAATTGACTTATCTTTTAATTTGAAGACCTTCGAATGAAAACCTTAAATGTCCACTTTTATGCAAACTGGATTTATGTTATTTTTTGGTTTCCTATATATAAGTTCATGTAATGGATCTTGTTAAATGTTTCTTTAAAAATTATGTCCTTCAAATTGACTGTCAAAAAAAAGTTTTGAAAAACGTCAATAGTGTAAATGCTCCTCGGAAAAAAATTTTTTTTGTGACATTTGAGGTTTTCATTCCAAGCAGAGCCGGCGCTAGGGTATTTGGTGTCCTAGGCAAATAAAATTCAACCCCCTCCCCTCTCCGAAAAAAAATATATTAATTTGAAAGAGCAAAAACATAAATATTAATTTTATTTAAAATGGCATAAACATTATAAAATGGTGGACATATTTAAGTATTAAAAATTTATTTTTGACATTTTAGGATTTCAGCCACTCAACTTTTATTTACAAGAATAAAAATATTTGAGATTTTATGACATTCAAAGAATAAAAGTAACATTTAATAGAATTAATGAAGACTATTCCTAATATTTAATCGCACCAAAATAACAATAATTAACCTAGCTTATCTCAAGAAATAATAATAAGTAATAATATAGAATTAAGAATAAAAATTGAAAACTTGGAATATAATATAGTTACAAAGAATAAAAAAACTTATTTCTGATTTGATGTTTAAATTATTAGAGAATTTGAATTTCAGAAACTAGAAAGTTCATTTGTATTTTGAAAATATGTAATAATAAAAATAAAAGCATATTTAAATTTTTATTTTTCTGGCTTTTTTTGTTGCAAATGTTTTTACAATTTCTTTCAAATTTAATATTGATGTCTTCGTGTTCTATCGAAATTATTGATAATCCCACCAGTCGTTCTTGTAACATTGTCGACCTCAAATAATTTTTAATTATTTTTAACTTCGAAAAACTTCGCTCGCCACTTGCAACGGACACTGGAAGTGTTAATAGTATTCTTAAAGAAATACATATAGTTGGTAGACAGTCAATTAAACGTTGTTCAACTATAAAAGTTAGTACTTCATGTGGTGTCATTTGTTGTGGGAGTCTTCCAGAAAGTACTTTGATTTCATTACAAAGATCCGCTGCACTAATTTCTTTTTGAGAACCATGAGTTAAAATTTCTTCTAGATTTCTACAATTTTTCAATAATTCTGCTGAAGATTTTGAACTTATAGAATAAATATCATGAAGGAAGCCAAATATACTATTATACTGTCGCATTTGTTCAAACCTTTCCGCAATAGACTGTATAGCAGTGTCTAAAATTTTAAAATAAAATTCAACTTTAAATTTTTCTTTTGGATCTTGCAACGCTTCATCTTGTATTTCATAATCGAACTGTCGCTTTTTTCTCCTTCTCCCGATGTGTTTTTCTTCAAAATTTGTTACTGTTTCCAATTCTTTTGCAATTTCAGCAGCATCAACAATAATTCTTTGAAAGCCTTCATCATTTCTTATTTTTACAAGTTTGTTTTTAGTAATATTTAATTGTTGTGTAGCTCCATTCAAATCAACTTTCTTATTTTGTAATATTTTATTAGAAATATTAACTTTAAAAAGAATGTCGTACCATGAAACAAGGGCAACCATGAACTTGAATATGCAAATAGAATTTGCAAGCCCTTCAGCCTCATTTCTGGAAGAATTTCATACTGATGTAGTTTGTAATCTTGGATCCTTAAATATTTGCATTAAAGCATCGTTAATTTTTACGAGATTGTATCGTATGGTTTTAAAGCATTAATGCGGCTTTCCCATCTTGTATCATTTAATGACTTGACAGTAAAATCTGGAAAATAGCTACGAAAAACTTGCCAACAAGAAGGTGATCCCGAAAAATAACTATAAATCTGTTGCACCACACCAAAAAAACTTATTGCATCTAAGCTACATTTGCATGCATCATTCACATCTAAGTTTAGTGAGTGTGCGCTGCATGGAATAAAAAACGCCCGAGGATTTATATCCAAAATTTTTCTTTGTACCCCATTCTCCTTACCCTTTATGTTGCTTCCGTTATCGTATCCTTGTCCACGGAGATTTTCAATTGGTAAATTAAAATTTTCCAATTGTTCAATTAATGCTTTTGCCAAAAAACCACCTGTAGATTTCTCCGCAGGTATGAATCCTAAGAAATGTTCTTTAATTTTAACTAAATCCCCATCATGCGATGTTGGTGATTCTAAATCAACAAAACGAATTATTGTCATTTGTTCTGTATGGCTATTATCTGGGGTGCAGTCTAAAATTATAGAATAATATTTAGCATCTTTTACCCTAGTCAAGATATTATCTTTTATAGCATTTGCTAGTATTTGTATTAATTCGCTTTGAATTTCTTTTCCAAGATAATGAGCAGTTTTAATTTCTTGATTTTTAATTTTCCGCACATGTTCATTCATTGTTGGGTCAAATAAAGCGAGATACTCAACTAACTTTAAAAAATTACCATTGGTGTTATTGTAAAGCTTTTCATTTGTTCCACGAAATGCCAAGTTTTGCGTTGCCAGTACTCTGACTAAGGCAATTAATCTTTCTAAAATTCGTTGCCAATATTGTTCTTTTTCATTAATTTTTTGTTGGTTAATATGATCAATAGTTTTTTCTGAAGATAAACGTATATCAAGTTCTTTCCACATTTGAAAATTTACGAGATGTGAATTACTTTTTTCATCAGAAGAAAGAAGTGCTCCAATATTCTTCCAATCGTTTAAACCTGAACCTTCTAAAGCCGGCAAACTACTTTTGCTTTTACCAAATAATTTACAACATTAACAAAAAACTACATTTTTTGAAACTGAATATATAAGCCAAGAACGAGAGACTTCGTCTCCATTTGGTAATGTCCGCTTGTAATAGATTGATGAAAATTTTCTTTTTTGTTCATCTCGATCTCGTGGAAAGTTATATTTTTCAATTTGTTGCGGTCTATTTTTTATAACAAATTGCCGAAAATTGTCACTAAAATGAGTAGGCCAATTTGCATGGTCACTGTAGTCTGCAGATGATAATATGCTAATTTGAGTTTCAGTTTTAGTTTGTCTTGAAATATTAACAACAGGAGTTGCTTCAGGTAACAGGAGTTGCTTCAGGTAGATAAATTTGGTTTTCATTGATATTTACAACTTCATTTTGTTGATTTGAAATATTAGCATTATTAACAGTTTTATCGTCAACTATCACTTTAGATTTTTTACTCACACCGCTATCGCTTTCAGTAGCAGAATCAGTACCTGTAGAATGTGTTTCTGCACGAAAATATTTTAAAATAGCTTTTCTTTGACTTTCTTTATTTTTCTTTACTGATAGTCTCTTTTTCTCAGACATGGTTAAAAAACGTAAGAAATGTGTAATTATAAAATATTTACTTATTACTTGCTAGCGTACAATAGTAGAATTGAAGTAATACACTACCTTTTCAATCGATAAGAATATTGTCAGTTAAATACTTATTATAAATAAAATATAATAGTCAACACTTAAATCTTTCGCTACCGCCGTTTTAACAAAAATCTTTTTGCTGAGACCGCACGTTTTTTTGAATAAAATTTGGATGAAAAACATAAAAAACTAATTAAAATTCGAATGGTATATCTTTTTAAAAGCGTAACAATTTGTTAGCTTTGTTCAATTAATATATAGTTTGTTACAAACTATATGTTAATTGAAAGATAAACAAATGAACTTTTTAATTAAATAAGTTTTTAACACGCATCGTTGACCAGTAAGAAATGCAAGGTACTTAAACCATCGTTTTTATAAATAGTAACATAAAAAAATAAAAATAAAATAAATAAAACATTAAGTCCGAAAAAAAACTTATTTAATGTATAAAAAGAACGTTTTCTTGAAAAAAAACCTTTGTAATTACTTAGCTAAATAATCACACGCTTCTACAAGTTAAATTTTACAGTGTTAACGCTGCTTTATTTTACTAATTACGAACTAAATTTAAAGAAATTTTTTTTATCAAGGATTACTTGAGATTTTTTAACTTTGTCAAGTGATAACTAATTATAGTTACACATTATTGCTCATACTTGTACTTGATTATGTAGAGAACTAATTAAAATTTAAGAAAAAACAAATTATGTGTCTAGATTTATGCACAAAACAGAATAAATTGTGAAGCATACTCGAAAGCCGCTACCAGCGGCTTGCAGTCATAATAAAAAAAAAATCAAAAGCCGCTATCAGCGGCTTGCGGAGGGAAAGAGTTAAATTGATATTTATTCAAAGAATCAGAGACAGACAGAAGAAGTATCTAGTACTCGTTAACCAAACGCAAGCGAATGAATGCGAAATAACTGATTGAATATGCGGGAGATCTAATGAACATGAGGAACAGCGAACAGATAATATACAATTTTGTTTGTTGTGTTTATAATTTAAAAAGAAAATATTTACTTTATTTGGAAAACGCAACTCAAGTTGTTAACTATCTCTTATTTTATTAATATAAACATAGACGAGAGACAAGAAGCAGGAGTCACTATTTAATAACATTACAACACTACATGTTGCCTTTGCCTAAAGCCTGCGAGTGATACACTAACTTGCCTTGCAGTTTATGCTCAATTACTGGAAATGGAAAATTTCTCATCGTTATATATAATTTTTATAATTATTATAAAATTATAATTTTAGTTAGATTTTTTATATCTTATAGGCAGCTGCCTAGTCTGCCTAGTGCCTAGCGCCGGCTCTGATTCCAAGGTCTTCATTTCTCAAAAGCTAATTCTTCTATCATTTAATGGACTTTTTATTTCAATTTCAATTTCGTTTCTCTTCTTTTTTTTTTTTTGGTTTTTACTATGCAAAGTTTTATGATTTCCTAAATATTTTGAGCAAACCTCAGCAAAATTACTTTTCTTGTTTTTCTCGAAGTCACATTCCTCTTATGCGATATATTTATAAATACATAAGTTTACTTCGATAAAAAATAAAAAATAAAAAACAGCATTAAAATATTTTTTAAATATATTTCGATTTAATTATTCAGCTATTTTCGCAGTCCTATTGTGATCAGAGTCGTCAACTAAAATGAAAAAAATAAAAAATACCGTTAAAAAATTAAATAAAATAAACCCTTTAATTAAAAGACATTAAAAGGCATGCAATGTAAAAAACAATAAATTATAAATATTAAATTTATTAGTTTATATATTATATAATATAAAACATAAAATACAGCTAAGTACTAATTTTTAATTTATTAAAAATTAAAAATTAGTACTATGCTGTATTTTATGTTTTTTATATTAAATAAATTATTAAGTATTACAAGAAATGTGATTAACGGCAAAAAGCGATAAAATAATATATTAATGACGTTACTGGAACTTTTATGTTAAAATTAGTTTCCAAGTTCTTATTTTAATATTACCGCCGTCGTTTCTTTTAAGAATAACTTTCTCAATTCCTTGGTCATACAAACTCTTGCTCAGTAAATCTAAGGTCTAAGCCATTTAAAATTATCATGATATGTTTAAATTTCATTAACTCGTTCATTTTTCATCTATCAAAGGCTCTTCGGTGCTCATAATTTCTTGGATTAATGTTTTTGTTGGCCTCGCCAATATATATATATATATACTTACGCATCAATATTTAAGTTGATAAACACTTGTCGGAGGTATTTTTTGTTGTTGTTGCAAAATATATTATTCAAATTCGGAGCTAATGTAAATATAACTTCCAATTTTTATATACTGTTATGTAACATATATGCTGTTTTGTTTTTAAATTCTCTTCAAAGTTTTAGACCAATAACAGGCATGAAAGGTAGCCTAACAAACTGTTGTTTATCTAACTTGTGACATAGGTGCGAAAACGATGTAACTCCGCATTTTATCGATTTTCAGGTTTTAGATGATTATGAGTATAAAAGAGAACTTCTATCAGTTAGTATAAAAAATAATAAAGCACTTCTTGTGTCATTAAACACATGATTTAGTAGAAAAAATACGTATTTCCTACATATAAAATTATTCTGTTTTTTTTTTTTTTCTGAACAATTTGCAAAAATGGAGTTACGTCATTTTTGCACCCGTGTGGAAAATCAAAATTGTTGTAAATGTAGTTTGTTTTTTTTATCCCCAGTTTAAATAACTTTTGGTTATTTTAATAAGATATGTAGCCGTTTTTCAAAGTATATCAAAAATAGCGATATATCGCTAATAAAAATTTAAAACAAAATATATCTAAAAATTAGTTCTATGACTTTAAATTATCACCGCTGTTCACCGCAAAGAGACTTACAATTAATAACAAAATTTAAAAATTTAAATATACGATACGCAAAAGCAAAAAAAAAAAAAAACAGCTAAAAAACCTAAAATATTTTTGAAGTATAAGATGTATCTTTTACTTTGACTTTGGACCAAAAAAATATATTTTAAAGATAATATTATTATTTTTATTATCGTTATTATTATTATTATTATCATTGTTATTATCATTAATATTACTAAATAAATATATTTAACATGTAATTCAAAATTAGTTCATATATATATATATTTTTTTTATCCAAAAACTAATTTTTATTTGACGCAGTAAAATGACGTCAAATTCGATTACGCTGAAAAGTTCAAATACATTAGTTCGTCACTCGAAATTTAGAAATCGCGAAACGTGTTTTTCAAAATGAAGTTTGCAACCATTTTTTGTCCATTTCGTTCAAAAGAAAAGTATAATGTTATAAAAAACAAGTTTGAGAAATTCAACATATTTGGAAAGGCTCGAAGGTCATCAAATGTTCTTTCTGAACCAGTTTTATTAGAATATATAAAAAAAGATTCCGTTGACGTTACATCTAAGAATTTTTATTACCCTACGATAAGATGTGGGATCAAAAACACTGCTGTTTACATCCCTAGCAAAAGCCTACTAGAATTAAAATACGAGAGGTTAAAGCACAACCCTGACAGCATAAAGCAGTTCAAAAAAGAAAATGTAAATGGAACTTTTTCTTCGTTCGTTGCATGTCCTGCAACATCTGCAAGGTAGACATTTTAGAGACTGTTTCATTTTTTTTGTGTCGAATTTCTATTTTAAGTTTTATTGCGCGTGTTTCGTAAAAGCATATATGATTTACAATATATAATGTATCTTTTCTATTTTCATTATTAAAAAAAAACAATTTAAATAATTGCTTAAAGCTTTATGAAATTTTCCAAATTTTTTTACAGTTCATAAGTAGCAGCAAAAATAAATATATTACATGTTGATATTATACATGTTTATTGCTGAAATTGTTTTTTTTTTTAAGATTTGAAAGAGTGCTTTGGGCGAAGCCTCATCTTCCTATTGGACGTTGGACTCATCCACTTCTCTATTTGATATCCGAGCAAAGGTTTTTTAGCTTTCTTTAGCTGTTTTAATTAAGTAATTCATAAATGCTAAATATAGTTAATAAAATTAAGTACTGTTTTCTATTATTTCCTAAAGTATCGTAAAAAGTTAACTGTTTAATTGTAAATCTTAGTTTGGATATTAACTTCACTTAGCAAAAACTATAATAAAAATTATACTTTTTTTCTAAACATTAGATCCGGTTTTCAGTTTGATTTTTTTTTCCCTAAATTTTTTATAGTTTTGTTGATTCAGAAGCATAAAATAAATGAGTTTTATTTTTTTAGAAGACGGTAAAAAGCCTTTTTTATAGCATAATTTAGCTTAACTAATCTAAAAGCCAGATTTAACAGGTTTTTTATATTCAAAACGTTTTTTTTTTACCTATATAATTCAAAACCTTGTTTAGTTATTTTAACCTTGATTAGTTATTTCTAATTAAATAGGTTTTAACGTTAGTTTAGTAGAAAAATTGTTTATACTTATATACTTATAAGTAAAGAATAATAACTAAACAAGGTTTTGAATTATAAAGTTAAAAAAATAACGTTTTGAATATAAAATTTTGAATGAAAAAAATCTTATAAGATTTTAATCAGTAAGTTCTTTTTTGGTTAACCCCTTTTTGATTGTTTATTTTTTTAATTCAATCTGAGTTTTATAAATAGTATGTCTGGTCAAAATATCTAAGAATAATCAATGCTTGAAAAATAAATGTCTTGTGAAAGTATTAGTCTTGTTGTTTAATAAGTTTTTACTTTTTTAAGACATAAAGATGATATTGAAACGTCAAATATGCCAAGAAAAAATGAATCACAGAGACTAAAGGAAATGAATAAAAATACTGACATGTTTACTTTGGGAAACAAGCATCCATCACAACTTTCTGCTGAACAATATTTGACTTATTTATATTATAAAGAATATGACAGGTAAGTATTATTTCAGCGTAGTTAAATGTATTTCAAAATAAAGTTGCGATTGTTTTGTAGTTACATATTTAAATGACTTTAAACTGTTTTAACTTGTATAAATATATAAAAGTAGATTCTAATACAGTTGAGAAACATTTTATCATCACACCTGCATTAGATGTATGCTTAATTTACATTATGATACAAACGTATCAAAATATAAACTATACATTTATCATCCTTTTAGTAACTATAATCAGTATATATAAGTACTAAAATATTGCTGATAAAAACAACATGGTACAAATATATGTAAAAAAATCGATAAAATCATGATATATGTGTATATACATTTGGTGTTGGAGACTAACAATAATATGAAAATTTTAAAAACTAATTTTAATTTTTTATTTTTATAAAGAGTAAACAATACTTTACCGTCATCATCAAGACAAAGATCATCAAACGAAAAGGTTATGATTGTTTCCGACAATAATTTTTTACCGTTAACTGATGCTTCAATTCAAAAAAAATGGTATGTCTCTTTTAAAAAGGCTTTTTAATGCCACCGAAAATGTATCTTTCTAATAATATTTATATATCAGATATATATATATATATATATATATATATATATATATATATATATATATATATATATATATATATACACTTACACTGGGGTAGAAAAAGTTGCACAAATTTTATTCTATTTTCTGAGGTCCCAGAAGGAGGACAAAGAAATTTTTGTTATTGACTGCAAATTGAAAATATAACCTAAATTCATCCGTTTTAAGATTAGGTATTAATATTTAAAAAAGTCTGCGTAAGTTTATAAGTAAAAAAAAAATAAGCAGCTAGCTCCAATCATCCTTATATATAAAATTATTCACAGACAAATATGCTTTTAGATTAAAAAAAAAAGTTAAGAAGATTTGTCAAAGCCTGAAAATCAACCAGATCAAAAATAGTCACGGATGTGTTTGATGATTGACACATTACGTTGCAAAGTATTTAAAGATAAATTAATTTGTAAATAAATAATAATATTTAATAGATAATTTGTAAATAAATGAATATTTTTAAAGATAAATGTAGTTTTCTCTTTTTTTCTATGCAAGATTATGTGCAAGGTAAACTTACATTAAGTGTTTTGATGGCAATAATTTTAAAAGATTGCAGGATCTTTTTTTTTTAAACTAGAATTTTTATAGGAAAAAGCGAAATTAGGGTTAAGACTAAAGCAATGGAGTCTTCTCCATCTTGATGTCAAAGTTTAACATTACAGAAAATGACAACAGAATCTGTTTTATTGAGAAGAAAAATAACCTTG